CGTTGGAAGGCTTTTGAAGTTTTGTAATTGGCTTCCTTTTAAGCTTTAAAAAGAATGGGAATATGAAGGTTTTCCCGTGTCTGGGAGTCTCAGATGTCCAGAGAGCTGATCCTGAGCTAACTCTGCACTTAAGAGAAGGTATCTGGGCATGTCTACATGTGTGCTTTAATGCTCATTAACCTATTTTAATGCACATTAAAGCATCACAAAAACCATGATCTTTAGCTAATGCACATTTAAATAGGCTAACATGCATTTTTCTAGTACCTCGCAATGGAAGTACTAGATTTAATGTGCATTACCTAAAGTGCATGAATGAACGTGTAGACATGTCCACCTGGCTGTTCAATATTTTAAAAAGAGCTTTCTTCCCACCTGTTTGGCAGGTATCCAGCTAAATGGGTCTTTCCTTCTTACTCAAGCACTTCCCATTTCTTTGGTTTTTGTTATGTCATATAACTCACTTTTTGTTCCCTTTTGCAAGTCACCTTTGAGGCACCTCTAAATACCTGTGCAAAAGGGAGCCATTCAGTCACATGGATGTGGTATTTGCAATATCTCTTATAATGGTTTCTAGCCCTCAAGCAAACCAAACTTGATGGAAGTCACTTCTTCGGGCTGTGGAAGAGGACGGCGGCATATCCCAGCTGAACAGGGCTTAAAGGCAGAACCGCCGTAAGGATTACACTTTCAAAGAAGCGGCCTGCTGGCTACAATAAACACGGTGTCATGGGTCCCGGCAGGAGGCGAGTTGTAGGAAAGGAGCAAGACGTGGGCATTGCTTTGATGAGAAAAGGACCTTAACGAAGCCTGCGATTGGTTTGGTTTCTCTCCGCTGCAACGCTACTTGGGGACTGGGAAAGCCGTCAATAATGCAACACTTGCGGCTACATCCGGACTCTGAAAGATGCAGAAGGGAGTTAGGCGCCTGATCCCACCGAACGTGGTGGGATTTAGGTGCCTAAATGCCATCATTTTCCTTTGACGTTTCCAACCTCACACCTTAATGTTGTCCCATTCGAGTTAGGGGATTCGAAAAGCTCTAATAGTAAGCCTGCAGAAAGCCTGAAACAGTAACTTTAAGAAGGTGCACGCTGCCCTTCTGCATCTCCACGGACCCCGAAGTCTAACAAGAGCAACACAAGAGCATCCGCGCTGCTAGTTGCAACGCACGGGAGCATCGAATAGGGGACTGCCGCTGTCACAGCCCCACGTGGAGGCCGCTTGGAGGAGGACTTGACTTTCCATTTGTTCAACCTCTACGGTGCGGTGTGGGGCAGGCTGTAAGAGCACATGGGGGTAAGACGCTCCAGGAAGCCGAGCCCCCACGGGGCTTTCCATGACCGAGGCTTGTTCTGCAAGTACCTCCGAAACGGTACTTTCCTCCAGAAACAACAACGACAAATCCAATGCTTTAAGGTAAAACAACAAGGGAGCAAGGGAGGGGAGGCATTGTTTTCACTGGGAAGAAGCCAAGTCGATGCCTCCCAAATAGAGACATTGCTCCAAGCGCTTCCATATGGCAAAGACATTTCCTGTGCGGCCTTCCCAAACATGAACGGGTGCTGGAGGACACGGGACCGGGAGGAGGGAAACTCACAGGATATCCTAAGATCCTGTGCTGGGAATAGAGACGTCCCCCCATCAGTACCTCCCTCCCCCATGAAGCAGCTTGCCGGGGACCGGCTCAGTCATCTCCCTGCCACACCAGCCTGACCCTTTGAAGCACGTTGGCCAGCAGCACTAGCCACTTTCCTGGCTGCTCTGCGCCTCCAGGGAAGATATCAGCAAGGCTAAAAACTCAGACACTCAAAGGGTTGACACTGATCCTGAGCCGTCACCCAGAAGCCCTCTTCCTCCAGTCATGAACGTTAGCCAAAACGCAGAAAAAAACCTAAGATGAAGCGTGATCATTGGGATGACGGGTTGTACTTTACTGAATATTCTTGTTTTTCATCTTCCCGTGGGCTCTGCTCTCTGAACAATTGCAGGCCCTATGAAATTCAGCATCGTAAAAAGCAACTCAGAGCTGCAGCCTCTCAGGAAGTTTGGCCCATCCCGGCCACATTTTCACAAGAGGATCATTGCACCGTTGGGTGCAATCCTGGCAATAGCGGAGGCTGCGCTGAGTGGACATGCAAGACAAGGAGTGTTTGAAGAGTGCTTCTTTAACGCCGACTGCCTGCTTGCAGTCACTGTCACGGGTCGTGTTTTCCCGGGGCTCAGCAGGCTGCACGCGGCTGGGCTGTGCGTGCCCCGTGCTGTTTTTGCTTACACAAGAGAAGAATCAAGACTACTGATGGTCATCAATGAAGTGATGATGGCGTGGTGCTGGCTTGGGAAAGGAATTGCACACATAGGCGCACAGATCCAGATACCCCTTATGCTGCACAAAGCAACAAAAAAAATCAGGCTAACCTCCCCACACCCTGGTGCACCACCAAAAAGCCCTTCGATTAAGTCAATGCATCTCTGGGACAAAAGGAGCGGAGGTAGCAGGAGGGCAAGAACGATGGCTTGTCCGGCTTGGTTTCATTTCCCTTACACAACAGGGAGACAGGGAAGCCCTCTCTTCTAAGGACACAGACACACAACAGGTCTTCTGATGCAGATATGCTCTGCTAACAAGGAACTGCTGAAAGCCCGTGGATTACGAAGTGCTAAACTAACTCCAGCTACCCCAGCCCGTTGCTTTCCACACCCTCCAAAGGATGGGAGTTGGGGGCAGGAGAAACCAGTAAATATTTATCACACTGCGTCTAGCCAACTCTTCTAACAGCCTGGGTCATCACAGCCCATCCCACTGCTGGGCATGTTAATCCAGTCGTGACACCATCACCATGGGCATGGCTCTCTCCAGCACAGCAGGGTCCCCCCTCTTCCTTCTCTAATGCACTGCCACAGATACTAGCCCCCCAGCTGCTAATGCAACTATCCTCCAAGCAAAAGAGAAGAGGAGACTGCAGTTGAACCATCTCCACTGTTCAGCCAGTTAAGGCCAGAATTAATTCCCCAAAAGGCAATCCTGTACCACATCCTCTTCCCCACACCCATGATAAGAGATGATGGCATGTTAAGATGAAGGCTCGTGCAAAGCTCCACTTGCAACCCGCAGGGTCCCCGCAACGCTACCGAACAGTGGAAGAGGAGTGAGGGGAGCTCCCTACTTTGATGTCCGGGAATTGGCCAAGGTAAGTGTCCATGGTTAAGAGCGCCTGATCCACAAGCTTCTGATGGAAATCTGTCCAGAGGAGGTCATTGTTCTGCAAGACAAAAAAAGGAGCATCCCAATCAGTAATGACAACGGTATATATTTCCACAGCCAACAAGCACTTTCCAATAAATTTGTTAAGACCCACAGTGCCCCAATGAGACGCTTACCTCTTCCCTTTTGGAGGAAAGGAGGCATGCAGAGATCAACTGACCTGCCCAGGTTCGAATATGAAACACAGAAAGGGAACCCAGGAGTCCTGATTCTGCTACTTCCCTCCATCTACTAGACCATACTCCCAACTGGGTACCTGGTTGTGTGCCTTCCCCACCACATTTTCTCTCCTTTCCTAGGAGGGAACTTTATCAGTAGCACCAAAGGGTCCTAAATGACCGTGCTTACAGCTGGAGCATAAGCTGGGACTGCAGTATACACTCACTCATGCTCTCACCGAACTCGCTTCCAAAACTCCCACCAACTTCAATGATCAAGATGCTGAGAGCACAGTCCACGCAACTGGGATAGAAATGAAGATCAGGCTGCTTTATCCCCAAGCCAAAGCTGATGATCCCTTCCCAAGGGAGAGCCTGAAGAACAGGACCAAAGGAAGATCTTTCTTTCTTAGCTCCAGTACTCACCAGTCCTGTTGGTATGTCACACTGCAAATAGAGCTATCAGGCTATTAAAAAATCTGACCGGGATTAGTTGTGCGATTAAAAAAAACGAGTCACAATTAATCACGATTTAATTCCACAGCTAAAAACTCAAAAATACGTGCAGAAAGACTCAAAATGATGCAGGTATTTTGTATGGTTGGGAGGTAAGTGTGTGGGGGAGGGCCCTGCATGCCCTGGCAGGATGCGGGCTACTGTGGGTCTGGAGTAAGGGGCGGCAGCAGGGCTGGGGGGGCTGTGGCTTGCGAGCGAGCGAGGGGCAGGCGCACAAACAGTGCCCAGCAGTCTGTGGAGGGGAAGGGGCAGGGGTTAGATGGAGGCCCCCACAGTGAGAGAGGGTATGAGGCAGGGGCTGGGGTGAATGCGACCCCAGGGCCCAGGTGGGTTGTGGAACCATGGACAGCTCATCCAGGGGTATTTGTGGGGGGGCGGCCCCCTGCCGCTGTGCACACCCTCGGGGGAGGCATGGGAGCACGTGCCCCCCCTGGATTTGTGTGCAGGGCAGAGGCAGACTGCCCGGTGTGGGCTGGGACTCTGCACCCAGTTGCCTTTGCCCGCGAGTTGCACAATGCCCTGTTGTGCCTCCCACTGCTGGGCGGGCAGTGGCTCCTGGGGCAAAGGCAGCAGGACACAGAGCAGCAGCCCACGGTGGGCAATTTGCCCCTGCCCCACGCACATGCTCCCCATGCCTCCCCCAGGGATGCATGCAGTGTCAGGGAGCCACACACTCCCCACGCCCCTGGACAAGCCACTCATGGCTCCATCCCACTCCTGGCCCCAAGGCCCCATTCACCCCAGCCCCTGCCCCTGCCCCACTCCATCCCTCACCATGGGGGCTTCAATCTGCCCCTACCCCTGGTCCTTTCTCTTCCTCAAACGTACCTACTGGGCACTGCTCTACACACCGCCAGGCTGTGTTCATGGCTGCATGCAGGCTGCGGCTGCTCATGTGTGTCTGTGCACATGCTCGCCCTTCCTCCCACCTTCCTGCTGCAGCAGCCTGGAGCCCACATCCAGGCTGCCCTGTGGTCCTCTGCACTGCCACTGCTGTCCCGCTGAGTGGCCCAGAGGCAGCAGTGACAGCGGCAGAACAACACCCCAGGGGGAG